AGAAGTGGTTCTGCGTTGTGATTTCTGAGTGCAATCCTGCGCAGATTACCATTGCACGCACTCACGCTTTGCGCTAGTCTCTCGCTCGCTTGTGATGTGTGACAAGGGAGAGAGGAGAGAGTGAATGTCGGGTGGATGACGTGGACGAAGAGAGAGAGAGATGAGAGAAGAGGAGAGGTGCAGAGTGAGAGGCAGAGAGTGGAGGATGAGAAGAGAGGGAGAGGGATGAGTGGGAGGAGAGAGAGAGACGAGACGAGAGAGCGAGAGAGAGAAGAGAGGGAGGAGAAGGATCGCAACGCGCACGCATCGGAGAGTGAGAGGAGAGAGGGCAGGGAGAAAAGAAAGAGTTAGAGAAAGAGAGAGAGGGAGAAAACGGAGAGAGGAGAGAGAGGATGTAGAGCCGCTATGTGATGCAGAGAGAGAGGAAAGAAGAGAGGAGTAGAGAGCACGAGGAGGAGAAGGAGTAAGAGAAGTGAGAGAGGAGGGATGTATAAGAGAGAGAAGGAGAGGACTATGTAGAGAGAGAGGCAAGAGAGAGAGGAGAGAGTATGAGAGTGAGTAGAGAAGAGACGGAAGAGATGAGAGGAGAGTGAAGAGAAGATAGAGAAGAGAGAGGATGAAGAGAGAGAGCACACGGGACTGTATCAGAGACAAGCAGAGAGAGACGAAATACTGCACGATGAGATGGGGAAGGAGATGTATGTATGAAGAGGGAGAGAGAAAAGGAGGATGATGAGAGAGAGAAACGAAGTTAGAGTATGTAGAGTATGAGAGAGGAGAGATAAGATGTGTACGTGTAGAGTGAGCGCTGTGAGAAGTGTGTCGGAGTTTGATTAAGAATGGAGAGGAGAAGAGTCAGTGAGAGAATACTTGAGAGAGAGGAGGTAGAGGAGCAGGAGTACTGAGCAGTGGCGATTGCAGTTGTATGTATGTATTGCAGTGAAGATGAGAGAGAGAAAGAGGCCAGGAGAAGAGAAGGAGGTACATAGTAAATGAGAGGAGAGTTAGAGAGGAAGGAAGAGTACGAGAGAGAGGAGAGAGAGAGAGAGAGAGAGAGAGAGAGAGGAGAAGAGAGAGAGAGAGAGAGAGAGAGAGAGAGAGAGGAGAGAGAGAGAGAGAGAGAGAGAGAGAGAGAGAGAGAGCGAGAGAGAGAGAGAGAGAGAGAGAGAGAGAGAGAGAGAGAGAGAGAGAGGAGAGAGAGAGAGAGAGAGAGAGAGAAGAGAGAGAGAGAGAGAGAGAGAGAGAGAGAGAGAGAGAGAGAAGAGAAGGAGAGAGAGAAGAGAGAGAAGGAGAAGGAGAGAAGGAGAGAAGAAGAGAAGGAGAAGAGAGAGAGGAGAAGGAGAAGGAGAGAGAAAGGAGTGAAGGAGAAGAGAGAGAAGGAGAAGAGAGAGAAGAGAAAGAGAGAGAAGAAAGAGAGAAAGAGAAAGAGAGAAGAAGAGAGAAAGAGAAGAGACCAGAGAGAGAGAGGAGAAGAGAGAGAGAGGCAGAGAGAGAGAAGAGAGAGAGAGAGAGAGAGAGAGAGAGAGAGAGAGAGAGAGAGAGAGAGAGAGAGAGAGAGAGAAGAGAGAGAAGAGAGAAAGAGAGAGAGAGAGGAAAGAGAAAGAGAAAGAGAGAGAGAGAGAGAGAGAGAGAGAGAGAGAGAGAGAGAGAGAGAGAGAGAGAGAGAGAGAGAGAGAGAGAGAGAGAGAGAGAGAGAGAGAGAGAGAGAGAGAGAGAGAGAGAGAGAGAGAGAGAGAGAGAGAGAGAGAGAGAGAGAGAGAGAGAGAGAGAGAGAGAGAGGAGAGCCGCCGTGTGTATAGACCAGTCCTCCCTTTGTACATCGCAGTCGGAAAAGTGGACGCGAGTGAATCAGGAAAACGTAATATCAAGACAATCTGCTGGAAATTCCCCCTTTCAACGCTTTTCTGAATTTCACTGCCGTCCAAATTTGACGCTTTATTACCACTACAAGTGTTTTCAGAAGGTAGAGAGCAACAGAAATTAATCATTTTCGGACATTTTTATGACTGACAATTTTTATGACTGTCAATTATGGTCGAAGAATAGGAAATGAAGTACTGTCACCACATCAACTGGAAATCCTTTCTTTTAAATCATTATTTTATTATTTAGTAGTAAAGAAAGATTTTTTGTTTCTGAATACAATTATTATTATAAATGTAAAGATAGATAAAAGTTTTGAAACACCCATTCATCTGTCACTGACCATGATATACCCACGAATGGGTATATCATGTCTGCCGGTTTCGTAGATTAATTAAGACCAGGCTTATTTTGCTTTTTTACACAAAAAATGTAGCTTTGAAATCTCTATCAAATAACGATAAAAGGATAAAAAGCAGAAAATGCTAAAAATAAAAATAAAAATAAAAATAAAAATACACAGCAATGGAAAAGTATAGCTTTATGTTTTGTATTCATGATATCTTTTAAACTTAAAATGATTTGGGTTATATGATGAAAGTTGAAATATACTTTTTCTCATTTTGATGTTCTTTTCTCTCCTACTGTGCTTAATTAGTAAGCTAGCTCTTTTTCAATCAAAGCAAAATGAAAATAAAATCTAGTAAGCTAATGTTAGTATATGCATCTTTTGTAGCCTACACTAAGCATATAACCTCAATATTTCATGTACTAATTAAAGAACAACATTAAAGCGTTATTAATCATTGTGTAAAAAAAAAAAAAAAAAAAAAACTATAATATGATCTACTGACTATCAGCACTTGATATCTGATGAAAGAGTGAATTTTTGTGCTGTCGTTTAAACTTTGCAGAACATTTCCCATAATTTTTGATAGTTTTTTTCCTTTCCAGACAGGAAACAGTTTAGGCAGCAGTTAATGGTCCTCCTTCAGAGCAGTCCACTTGGGCCTCCTTTGTAGGCCGTATGTAACCAATTCTGCCTTCCTCTGCAAGAGAAAATTCTCAGATATTCAAGGGTAGCTTAGAGTATATTATGTTATATTCAGTCTTGCCCTAAAGCATTGAATGATAATTGGCCTTACTGAAGGAACACCAACTTAGTGGTGTAGGCCATTGTCACCATATCTGAATGCTAAATTCATTATACGCCAAGTAAATGGTAAGCTTACTTCACCTGAAAGTGAATAATGAGTCCTCAGTATTTGACTCTCATCCTGGGGTGCTGGCTGGGAAGATAGGATTGGCATGTAACCCAGTTCATTTCCTTCAGATTCCTCAGAGAGACAAAGTATAATGATTGGAAATCATATTGGCCTTGATTGTCCTTTGTGAATTAGGAGTTGAGTCATCCCAGTATCAATCTGTTGTAGAGTGATAGTGAAGGCATGTGTATGTGCGTCCATGTATTTATGACGGCTCTCAGCAAATACATGCATGATATATTTCTAGCAGCTTAGAAATTGGAAATATGAGAGAAAAATATATATATAGATCTTTACTTTTTATTCTTCCCAAATACTGATTTTTTTGCCTTTACCTTTTAGTAAATTTGAATCTACAGAACAATAACATTGATATCAGAAATTATGATATAGTCATAGTATAATATGATATTTCAGATTGAAGAAGTTCATGAGCCATTGATATCAAGCCTCGGAGTATAATTTGAAGTGCTTCAGTTTTCTTCAGAGAGCATGGTAAGACTAATACAACATTGGTTGCTTTACAGTTAGTTTGGTTCTATTAGAAACTGCACTTGATATTCACTATGAATGTTTTTTATATGATAGTTTGATATTAAGATATGTATTGGACAAGATTCCAGGTTATTTATAAAACACTTCGGCCATCTTTTTTTATTCCATTTTCTATATAAAGATGTATACTTATTTGTTTAAATATTTAGAAAAAGGAAAAACAAATTTTAGGAAGTGAACCTTTAATATTTACTGTTGTTAATATTTGATATAAGTGATATAACTTTAAGTAAAGAATATATTATGATATGCAGATTTCTTTTGCTTCTAGGTTTCTGCATAATGATTTTTTTCACATGTGCACACGCACGCACGCACGCACGCACGCACGCACGCACGCGCACGCACGCACACGCACGCACACACACGCACACGCACACACACACATACACACATACACATATACATATACATATACATATACATATACATACATACATACATACATACATACATACATACATACATACATACATACATACATATACATACATATACATATATACATATATACATATATATACATATATATATATATATATATATATATATATATATATATATATATATACATATATAATATATATACATATATATATATATATATATATATATATATATATATATATATATATATATATATATATATATATATTATATATATATATATATATATATATATATATATATATATATATATATATATATATATATATATATATATATATATTATATATATATATATATATATATATATATATATATATATATATATATATATATATATATATATATGTATACATATGTATGTATGTATGTATGTATACACTTATCAACATACATACATACATACATATATAATATACATGCACATGGACACTCACACATCATAACCATGCTTACTTGGACATATATGTATACTCAAAATTGTAATTTCTTTTTCCAACCCACAGGAATGTAAGGTTTGCTTCAATGATTACGATCAGGCTGACAGAAGGCCAAGAGTGCTGCCATGTGGTCACTTCTTCTGTTCTATATGTGTGACAAGCCTCTTGAAGGAGGGTACCCTCAAGTGCCCCATCTGCTGTTCCCAGCACACCATTCCTGATATAATGCAAATCCCCATTGCTTATGATTTTGAAGAGTTACTCTCAAGCATAAACTTGGCTTCACCAGGGAAAAGAGAAGTGCCAGAACCCCAACAGGACATTGGAATAGACCCAACCAGACTGAGACTAATACAGTTGGCAGTCAGTAGTGCTACTTCAGATTGCACTCAGATGCAGACTCAGCTCCGTACTTACAACACAACCTTGGATAACTTGATAACAGAACATGAGGAGCAAGTTAAGAATCTCACAGACATGATCCAGAGGCACATGAATGCACAGGAACTCCTGAAAAAGGAAAAGAGCAGATTGACTGATCTTCAAGGACAAGGTGAACAACAGTACCACTTATTACAGGAAGCAGCTGAAAGTCTTCATACCAGTGACAAGATGGATACAGACAGGGCTATCAGCAGTGCTGAACAGTGCCATGCTGTCACATTAATGTGGATCAAACAATGTAATGATACACTCCCAGATGTGAATGCCATCCAGCAGTCAGCTAAGGTGAGATCTATATTTTTACACATGGATGTTTGTGTATTACTTGTTTTTCTTTCATAAGATCTGTTGTATTATTATTGCAGTGTAAGCATAATTAACTGATAGCAAATTATCATGCAATGTCCACTGTAATTTTTGTTTATTACTTCTGGTAACACAAAGATTTTATTTTATGCTGTTCTTGATGAAGTTACTTTTATGGCAGTTGCGATATGCTACCAAAAAGACCATAGAGGTAATGAACCAAGAAGTGGATGCTGGTGTGCAGGATGCAGGTGTTACTGCTTCCAATAGATTAGTCAGTGGAACACTTCATGCAACTGTCCTTGAGAAGGTCAATAACATCATAGGCATACCAGTAGAAACTGTAACAGTAAGTAACCAGGTTGAACTTCATTTTTTCATAATTCTGTAATAATGGTGATTTATTCTTTTAAGGGGATGTGAACTGGCTTTGTTATTGTGAAACTGAGAAATTTAAAAGTTATTTAAAAAAGAATTAACAATGAGAAAGTAAACATATTTAATACAATGGGAAAGTAATTTTAGTCAATGGTAATTGAAACATCAGCAGCTTACTTGAAGTCGAGAGTTTAAGTAGCAGTTGCTAGTTGTTGTTTTTTTGTTTCCATCAGCATTTGACAACTTAGGTGCTTCCATAAAACTGATGCAAACCAACTGTAAAATCTTCTTCTGAAGTTATAGATGTGACCTCCCAACTTGATTCCAGTAATTTTCATGCTTGTCCTTTGGTGACTGCCAATACCTTACCAAATTATCTACAATGGGCCCTAAACCACATGTTATCACAGTTATGATCCAGAGTGAGGAAAAAGGCACAATAAAGAATATTTCTTGTTATACAGTGCTGATTTGGCCCCAGCATATGTTTCCAGTATAAACCTTTATACTGGGAATATGCTGCAAGTTGCCATGACTCCACCTAGTCTCAACTCCAAAAGTGGTATCTTTCAAGCAATTTGTTCAGTATGTATGTGTTTGAAGGCTTATACTATTCTCTATTTAGACAAGATTAAAACTAGGTTTTCTGTGTTTTCAAATCTGAAGACAGTATGTATTTACACAGTAAGTATTCATGTGATTTGATAGCTGCAGTAGAATACTTTTTTGAAGTCATTAATGCAAGTATTTTTTTTGTAGATATAACATATATTCACATTGTTATGAAAAGGCGTATATGACTTACTGATTCTATAATTATTTCTCACCATAACCTGCATAATACTTTCATATCATTATGAAGGGGCATATGACTGATTCTATGATTTCTCCCCACATACTGCATAATACTTTCATATGATATGATTTAAGAATTATTTCTTATCATGTTCACCACTTTTCCAGATAGAAAGCTTACGAGGACTGTCTATGCCTGTTCGAATGTTGGTTGAGGCTGGAAAGCTAGCAGCTGTCCTGACCAAGCAAGGCAAGAGTCGTCATGGTAGGATAACTGTACATGACGGAGCCATTTGTCTCCACCACCTTCAGAATGAGTGTCCCAAGACAACTCAGCATCTCCATACACTTCCAGTAAGTAATATCTTAAAAATCATGTGAGGTATATTATATATCATTGAGTAGTATTATACCATTTTTGTGAGTGACATACTGTCTCATTGTGTGATATTGAGTTGTTTTTACCATAAAGGATAGATATATCTTATGATTATTGATATTAGGATTGGTTATGATGGCAGGATAAAATGAGAGATTTTTTGCTTCATTAAGATTTATTATTTTCCAGTTTTATGATGTCGTAGCATCTACTGAAACGCTCTCCAGTCTGGTATTCTTGGATCTAGCTTGGCCAGGTTCATCCCCTGGTCGTGTCTACATTAGAATTATTAGAGATACTCCGATGGCAAAAAACTTTGTGCTACTCTGTACAGGTGAACATGGCCCTTCATATACGAACACCCACTTCTTTGGGGTTGTGTGTAAAGGTTTGCCAGGGGAACGCATTGTAGGAGGGGATTATGAATACAATGATGGCAATGGAGGAGCTGCTGTTATACCAGGCCTGAGTGGAAGTGGAGATTATAACAAACATTGCTCTGTAGGAGCTGTAGGTGGCTGGGTTTCTGATGATTCTCGTGCTGCACAGTTCACCGTCACTACAAAAAAGTCCCTGTTTCCGTACATTGATCCACGTGTGTTTGGAAAGGTGGAAAAAGGGCTGGAAGTAGCTAAAGCAGCAGCAAAGTATAGGAATATTAAAAATGTAACAGTTGTAGATTGTGGCATTGTAATTCCATATTGAATGACCTCTAAAGGTGACATAAGTACTTCACTCAAATAGAATCTCATACTGTCATCCGTTGTGAATGAATGTATCAGGGTATGATTTTAAGTTTAGAAACAGTTATGTATCTTTATTTAATAGTAATAGTGATGGAGGTATTATTGTAGTAACAGCAGTAGTTGTAGCTGTAGTAGTAGCTGTAATTAGTAATAATAGTACAGTTATTTTGTTACTGTTTAAAATATACATATTTATCTGTTAAATATATATGGGAAGTTTGCATTTAAAGAATATAGATTTATCAATTTTCAATACTGTTGATGTAGGCCTTGTAAACAGAGTGCCTAAATCATTGCCTTAAACATTGTTGATAACATGTCAGGAAAATATGCATCTAATTAGGCTGCAAACATATTGGTAAACAATAAGTACCCGTTCCCAAAGATGCTACTGTCCAGGAAATGTCCAAAGCAGTGTCTTGAAATATATTTACTGGGTCAAAGGTCTAAACAAGATATGTCCATAGCAGTGTTTTGACCATGTTTCAAAGCAAGATTATATATTATGTTAACATGACCTCAGAAGACGTGTTTGTAATTTGTTACAGGTTTAGATACACCATTTTTTATGTACTGTATATTCAGAATTTAAGGGTGTGTGAGTTGCCATGGCAAATCGACCAAATGAATTCAAAATGACAAATAATTATATGAAAACTGCTAATATTAAGTGTCAAGTGCATTTGAAGAATTCAACTGCTGTGCCACAATAGTTGCATTGGAAGTCACACTGCAAGAATTCAGAAAAGCATCTCTGTCTATTAGTTCATTAAATGCATAATTGATATAGAATTATGATGCTTTGCTATGTGCTAAAACGGATGTGTGCTCAGTGACTGTGAGCTAAGCTGCCTGACAGTGGCATGCAAAGGACTGATGATGCATGGGGTCAACTCCTTGATTGTATGCCCCAGAGACTCCAGTATATGGCTTAGGACTGAGAAATATGAGAAAGGGAGATATTTTGAATATGTAAATGCAGATGAAACATGAAATAAATACTTTAATTGATTTGAATATAAATTTCAAAATCACTATCTTCTGACTGGATGTGTATATTATCATAAATTTTTGACTTCTCAGGATCGCTTCATATAATCTTTTTTTTCATTGAAAAGCAACAAGCAGTACTCTGACAAAAAATCAGCCATCTACCTTTGATAGAAAAAAATAAAGCTTCAATATAAAAAAGTAATAGTTATCAAGTTTTGGTGTATAACAGTTGTGAAAAGTCCATCTGAAAGTATGGAAGCTGTCTGTGATATGTACTACTTTAATTTACTGTTTAAGTAATGTATGTGGACTCTAGAAACCACCTGCTGCATACCCAAGGTCATTTTGAAGGCATCTGTTTCATATTTTTTAACATTTATCTATTGTGCTGCTTGAGAAAGGCCTTCTTGATCTTGCTGACAGCCATACCCATGCCTGTATGTAGCATTGTTGTAACTCACCAAAGATGTGGCAGTGGCAAAGCCCTGGATGTGCTGTGTTAATGACTAAATTTATGTGGCAGATAGGCTATGGAAAATCACATTGCTTGCCTTTTAATTGCCTCTCATCTTGTTGATCCTGTGATTTGCACCATATGGGCATGCATTATAGTTCATGCTAATGATGGCACTGATGGCAGAACTATCACAGAGGGCAGACATAGGATGTGTATCATTAGTCAGATTTTTTTCTTTGTCGTTCTTTTTATTTTTTACATACTTTTCAAAAGAATGTCTGTTAATCTACAACCAGTCCTGTGTGCACATCAGTAACAGAACCTGCACCAAGCAATGACTTGTGACCCCATGTATGCCAGGTGTTAAGATCTTGAAAGTAAGGTAATTTAATTCATTCTGAGTCCCATAGTAGTCCACCCTCCCAAACTACCTGGCAGACAGCCTTATCTGACGATTTTGGTCGACTACGGGTACAGGTACTCCCTACTCCCTTGGTTTTCTCATCAATTCTGCCAAAACAGTGGGCATGAAGCAAGTGTCCAATCATGTGGACAGGGCATTTGAATTAAATATGTGAGTAATGTTACTCATCAGAATGGTTATCACTATATACTTGCACAAAAGTTATATCCTATCCCCAGCTTCAGTTTAAAACCACAAAAATAGTTTATGAAGCATTTGCAGAGGTGTTGTGATCACTCCCTAGATGTCATACTGGATACATACCCACATACACATGTACACATATACATACAAACTTCACGTGCATACACAAAAAACTCACTTACTCACTCTCTCTCGAGACAATATGGCTATATATCTAACAACCTCTATATTGTATCTCCATCTCTATGTGTCTGCATATCTCTATTATTTCTAACAGTTGCAGTAGCTCCATCTCTCTAAGGTAGTGCCTGATATAATATGAAAGTGAATTAAGAATCAAAGTATGTATAACATATGCTTTCTTCTTCTGTAATTAATAATGCAATTGTTGGACAGTTATCACTGGAGGGCATTGCTGGACCCATTTATTTGCTTCCCTAGCAGATTGTGCCTTTGCGCATTGCTATTCTAAACCTTGTGTTACTGCAATGTGTGACAATCTCTTGAAGACTGTGGTAGTGGTACTCTAGTACTTTATCATCTAGTGCATACCACATTTACATAACTCTACACCCCTATAGCATTAACACCATGTGATAGTATTTATTTATTTATTGAAAATATGCTGCCCCATCAATATCTTAGGTCATACACTGCATATTCAAAGTAAAGCAATATGGTGAGGCTTGGGGGCAAAGCAATGGTTATATAGCACTAAGATAAAAAAAAATGGGTAAAAATTTGTAAACAATTAGGACAAAATAGTTGTAGAGGGCTTAAAGTTAGTATTGTAGTGAAAAGGGTGAAGAGGGAACAGCAAATGGAGTATGAAGTCCATTCAGGACAGACTTTCATCCTTTCAAGAAAAGGAAAAGGAAGGAGGGAGAAGAGAAGCATGATTTTAACGCTTTAGGATATGGATAGTAGGGGATGAAGTCCATTCAGGACAGACTTTCATCCTTTCAAGAAAAGGAAAAGGAAGGAGGGAGAAGAAAAGACCATGCAAAATTAATGGAGGGAAGAATGGAGGTCCAAGCTAGGGGTGATCCCCTATGTTGGGCCTCAGTCTCTGTCTCATAAGATAACAAGGGATTGGGGTATGCAGACACAGAGAATAGGACTGTGTAATCTGCATAATACTGAAATCATTCTTGCTCTATTATTCATTTCAGGGCATAGTAAATCATACAACAAGATTTGTTTACATCTTTATTAAATGATACGTATGTACTATAACGGATGCTCCCCTATGAGAAAACCAGGAAAAAAGTACTCACAATTTAGACTTCTTTTCCCTCTACCTACTTTTACTCCTCAAAGTACACACTGTTAAAGACCAATTAATAGTTTGGAGAGCACAAATACTTTTGAATATATGCATAGCTGAATTTACAACATACTATCAGATTCTTCCAGCCCAGTATCAAAACCAACTATTTTTTGTGATTCAAACCCCTATGTAATATTTTAATCCTAAAAGTATAAATCAATGAGCACATCATTTCAAAACATAGCTTACATTTCTAGTAAACATCCATGGTCAACATTTTTTGGAATGACTGAAAGTAGAAATCTTAACATTTATAAGTTCCTCACTTGTTCAATTATAGTTTAACAATGGAGAAAAAGAAAGACCATCTGATAAAAAAAAAAGTACACTGGAGAGAGAAACAGCCGATGAGATGATAAATAATGATTCCAGAGGGGAGCATGGAGAGAAAAAAGTCAAGTGGTATCTGGGAAGGAGCAGCCCATCAACATGCAGTGTGATGTATATGGAGGCAGTGCATGGTTGTCTGGAACATGTGGGGGACCTTTTTTTCTTCTTCTTCTTCTTCTACCTTCACTTTATTTGTATTATGCATAACAACCAATGATGGTTTGGTTGGGCTTTTGTGGTAACAATGTACTCTCTCCTCCACTACTTTATTTACTGCATAGACAAATGAAAATCAAGACTTAACCAAGGTCATAAGTGAACTTGACAGACTAAACAGAAATGAAAATTAAGGACTCCTCTAGACTGCAGCTACAACCAACCATCTCAATGCACTGCTTCCAAGCCTACACACTTCTTAATTATTCAATGTATAAAAAGAAAACTAGGGTGCTCCACGATCCATTATAAGAGTTCCCATCCACTCATTTTGGGATAAACCAACACAGAGAAGATACACAAGAAAAAAATGGGTGGGCCTTCTCTGCTTATTACAAACCACTAGGACACAAATCACAATAGAAAAGGACATGAAGATCTATGGCTAAATACTAGATATGCCACCATATTGTGCTGTGGATAGTTTGCTCCTATGCTACACCATAGGAGGATTTTATACTCACTTGAAAAGGCATCTCCAGTCAAAAGTAATGTAAGCTTGCTCTACATTTGCAAATCTTTATTTACAAGTGTACAGAATTCAAGCCTACAAAACTTCCATTGAGTTAGGTATCACTCAACTTTACAGGCAAAGTAAGATGACACTGAATATGTAAACCCTAGTAAATACCTTGTCATACTAAACTGCACTGTACAAAGTAATTTCCACGGTTTACATTCCTGAATTTCCTACTTTGTACCTGCAATCTCAAATGCCACCTGCTAATCCAAACGCTACCTCAGTCGCATTCATTATTAACTAGTGGGAGTTAAATCAATATAGGTGGCATGTGAGTAAGTTAGAGAAAGTTGCAACAACAACAACCTAGCACTGCAACCAATTATGGTTTTAACTTTTTTTATATATATATACCACGGCATGCACTTAAGTGGAGCATTTCTCATTAGCTTGCACACAACTGCAACGTGACTTATCACCATGATATTCAAATTAGCTGTGGACTGTCTAAATTTCAGGAAAAAAGATGTATACAATGAAAAAAATAAAGATGGAACCAAAGAGTTCAGTGCCTACCAAAAATTACATGCAAAGAGATCTACAAAAATTGTCTACAAAAAATCTTACCCTTTCATTAGTTTTGATATGGCCTAACATGTGAATTTGTTTACTTGCATGTTCAAACCCAGGTAGAGTATCACAGCTTACAACCACGTGTCACTTTAAAGGAAACACCTGCTTGTACAAAATCTATACCAATCTCAATCCAGACATAAAGTATTTGAAAATCCATGAGTTTATCTGCATTCAGTAGCCTTAATACTGATACGTTAAGAGTAATGATACACAAATTTTAAAAATTGGTTTGTAACAAAAGACACATAATGTGCAACCTCCTATACCATTTCTCTTAAGCCCACCACATGGCCCAACTAATTTATTGTACTCCTCCAATATCTCAGTAAATATTTTGAAAAATGTTATGCCTTATTTATTCTTGAAAACTTCACTCCTTTTTTTCTTAGAATGTAATTGAAAAGCATTTTGTTTAATACTACAAGTACCAGAAGATCTTTCAAACTTATGGCAAGACAACTTTGATGTCCTACTGAAATAAGAATCTGGTTTCATCTATCAGTCAAAACTGAGACAAAAATGTTTCAGGAAATGATGTAACACTATTCAGTGTGATCTTCCAAGATAGTCTAATTGTCACATAAACTTTGTCTTGATAATATAGAGTTGAGTCAAGCAGTGAAGTGATTCTGCAATTTAATTTGAATCTTGCAAGATTATTGATGACCAAGTAATTAGTTACACAGTTAGGTAATAAATTTCCTTTATTATTATTATTATTATTATAGTATACAACAAAATATGCTGCTTGAGAGAGCAATAGTAACAGTCTAATTGAAAAAGGTTTTTGTCTTCAGAATCAACTCTCAATTTCTACATGGTTCATCACTGTCCTGTCTCAACTGCCTGCATCTTCAAGCTACCACATAGCAAAATTTGTTTTTAAATTTAAAAAGAGGGCTTGCTTCATACATCTATTCCTTCTTACCAATATGCACATTAGGGAGAGCTTTCTTTTCCAGCTACCAGAATTTCCCCAAGAGAACTC